CACCTTTTATTTCTTGGTTTGCAGATGATTGCATTTTTTAGGCATCTTAAAATTATTTTAACGTAATGTGTATTTAAATGTTTATCCATAGAGACAATATTTCTTAAATATAAGCATTGTACATTTAAGGAAAATTTTAAACACTAGAGGGATTTTATTTTAACAGTCATCCTTTTTTGTCTGTTAAATGCTTGTTCTATCAATTTTGTATCTATTACCTGTGATTATGCATTCCCGTGTGTTTCAATATTTATTCCAATACACCATTTGCAACCAAAACATTTTTATTTCTTTATCTAACAATACCACGTGGGCTCGTGCTCTGTTTGCAAAAATGCTCGATACCATTTCTGAGCTGCAACTTTGATAATTAAAACAAGCAACTACTTGATATGAGAAAGCTCTTGATCATCATTAGTGATGCTCTAATAATGAATCCCATTTACGAGCGTAAATAGTTTTTTTTACTTAATATAGCTTGTAATTATCGAAACTACTAATTTTCATTTGTGGATATTAAAACCGGAATGTTTCAAAATATTCCAGGTCTAAAAATTTATATTTGCCTTTTAGATGTGCCTTCATTTTTGGGATAATCTTAATTATTTACCATTTCAGCTAGACTTATTGCTTTCGTCGACGGCTTTGCAAATGAACTTTTCAACAGTTCATTGCGGTTTACTTTTACACCCAATTTCTTAATTGGGGATTTTGACTCCATTATGCCACACATATTAGAACACTACAAAAACCAAGTCGGCAATTACTAACACCATATCCTTTAGTCTTACGTCAATGTAGTCCACACACCTGACCAGAGTGAAACAGACTTCACGAAAGCGTTGAGAATAGTCACAGATTACTGCAAAATGAAAGAGGTCTTCATTGATTCTTACCTAAACCGAGTTTATAGCTCTCAATCGACTACATTTTAGCCGTCGGCCAAAGTGGTGGTCGAGTCGATCATATATTTTCCATGTTTCACACGCTTTTTAAAGCAAAGAAGATGACTGATATACCTGTGATCTTACTGACAGAAAGAAATTCATCTCTGCTGCTAGATGAGGTATTTTTGTAATCTTCAACATGCCTGCTTTTTTTAGGGTGATAATTTGATCCTAACTAATAGCGGGCTCGAGGCTGGTTACTGCGGTCTTGTGCCTCTTGAGGGACCTTGCAAAGCCACAACATCTGGGTTGAAGTGGAATCTGGGTAAGCGTTTAGCTTA